CCACATTACATGCTTTGGTTTCTAGACTCCCCCCACCCCTTTAAAGACATCCCTTCAGGCATGTGCCAAATGTTCTGTGATGAAGAGACATCATTTAGATTCTCTACATAGCTGCACAATCCTGTTTAGTTTTCATTTCCAGGTTTCCAGGTTCTGTGTGTTTAATTATCTTAATGTTGTGAGTCAATGTTATTAGATATATTGTCCTTCAGGTCCTTTTTGGCTTTCTTAATAATTTACCTAAACTCTCTTAACTTCTATTTTCAACTTTCTTTTTGGAAAATGTTTCTTCTTTGGAAGTCAAATAAAACCTTGTTAGACTTCCCTGGCAACATGTAAATGAAGATTCAATCATCCAGGACAAAAGTATCTTAAAAGGTTAAATCATGGCAACTGGACCAAAGTTTATTAAAACTGAGACGTTTCGTTACTCATCCAAGTAACTTCTTCAGTCAAAATGAAAATTTAGGTAGAATTTCCATACCCTTAATGGAAATGGAGCTCACATCAGTCTTAGTGATAGGGTGGGCTGTTCTCCCTGGTTCAGCTGTCTTGCTCTTTGAACTTCTGTTCTGAGTGTAATGACAAGGAACACCAACTTAGCTGGTCTTACAGAGTTTACAGTTCTCGTTTCTAATGAAGCAGCTAGAAAATTCTGGTGGCCATTTCCCATCCATACCTGAGAAATGTCAGGTCAATAAGTATGGTGGAAACATGAGAGCTGCAATATTTCTAAATATTTTTTTATGTATCTCTCTGCTTGAAATTAAGATCAAAACAGAACTGTGGATTCCAAAATATATTAAGTTTAGTTTAGTTTAGTTTAGTTTACTTTATTGTCATTGCACCTCATACAACAAAATCAAACACCATCTTCAGTGCACATCATGACCATGAAAATAAGCACAAACACACATCCTTCACCCTTCACACATTGAACCAGAAACCCCCGACACCACACCAACACTTCACTATACAGCAGAATTCAAAAGAGCTACTGCCCTGTGACAGAAGCTGTTCTTCAGCCTATTTGTCCTTGTTTTTATTATTCTGTACCATCTGCCAGATAGTAATAGTTCAAGAAAAGGGTTCCCAGGATGAGATGGATCTTTGAGAATGTTTTGAACTTTCTTAAGGCAGCAGGAGCTATAAAGCTCTTCCAAACAGGGGAGAGGGCAACCAATGATCTTCTGGGCAATGACATTAACCCTCTGGAGTGATTTCCTATCTGCCACTGTGCAACTGGCAAACCATACAGAGGTGCAGTATGTTAAAATGCTCTCTATGGTACAGCGGTAGAAGGCCACCATCAGTTTCTCATTAAGTTGTTGTTTTAGGTTGGTATACACGTAATCCTTGAGTTATGACTAGAATGGAGCCTATCCATCACAGTCGTAACTCATGATCAACCTGATTTCATGACTTTTTTGTCATTAATAGAATCAATTTCATAACGCAAACACCGCAATCGTTAAGTAAACCATTGGTTTTCTACGGGCACAGTTTTGCTGAAAACTGGAAGTAAATATTAGTTTTTGGACAAACTGTAATAAAATGGTAATCACACGACCACAGGACACTGCAAACAGCCCTAATGGCAGCCCGGTTGCCAAACACCTGAAGTATGGTCATGTGACCACATGGAAAGACATGGCCATCAGAACTTAGAATCAGGGTCATAAATACCTTCCAAATCGATCAGTTGGAATTTGTAATGGTGGCTAACTGGTTGTAAGATGAAGACTATCTTATAATATCAATTAATATTTTCATGAAAGTATATTTAATTACAACCACCCATCTGTCAAAAACAACTGCCTTAACGATGAAAACTGAAGACGAGATGGCTTTCTTCTATGTAGTGGGATTTATTCTGAAGTAAATGTTTCTAGCAACCTTCTTCTACATAATACAACCCAGGTATACTTTGGGATTACAACTCCCCAATTCCCAACAGTGGAATTTTGGGAAATGCATTTCAACATGCCTGAAAAAAGATTAGAGTAAAGAAGGCTACTGTTTAGGATTGCACTTGCACACCTTTGGTGGTCTGACCTTCTCTGAAAGGTGATGCACATTTAACAAGCAGCACACATGGTCACACCTGGGGATTTTTAGTTTTAAAAGGCCCAATTAACAGCTGTCTAGAAGAGAAAGGAAGGAGTGACTTTTGCTCTAATTGTGAATGTTCGGTACATTACACATATTTTTTCCCCCAGGTTTTTACATTTTATTTTAGGCTTTTAAAGGCTTTTTTCTTGCAAAGCTAATAATGATCTATTTTACTTATCCAGTGAGAGCTTTGCATGGAAGGCTTCCCTCCCCTTTCCTTGAGTGTATAGATGAAGCATTAAGGGCACTATGGGTAGAACAGCCAATCAGAATAATGAGTCTCCACTGCTTGGGAAAGTGAGATTAATCTAAATCAAATACTTTCCACTATGGCAATTTTAACTAATTCCCTCATGAAAGTACAAGAGATATGTGAAACCCCTACAGCCAGCATAAACCTCCTGGTAGGACTAGACAGGTAATGCCTTTTAAGCTTGTTAATGTCTTATCCTGCTGGTTTCTACAAATGATTCAAAGAATAGCTGACTACTTTTCAACCTGTCATTAGAGAGAAATGCAACTTCCCGCTCGAAGATTGAAGGCGCAGTGTTGCAGGGTACATGCATACATACCCACATGCCTTGAGAGCAGGAAAGATTATTTCTGCTTGACTATGCCAATTTAATTAATCTCTATATTAGTACTTTGCAATTCACCTGGATATTCATACATCTCCAGGACCCTATAGAACAGAAATGCTACCTGGTAATAGCTGCACGATGATAAGAATCAGGTATGCTCGAGATAAGAGGAATGTCTTGATAGAGAAGGAGACTGTCAGTGGAACAGAGCCTTCATTAATGAACCAGGCAAGAGAATAAAATGTGAATTTCCCTTTGCAGGCTAGGGCTCAAAAATAGCAAATCAGTCTGTCAAATTTGCAGGTGAGCATCCTGAGTCTGTTCCACTTCTGCTCTCTTGTTTACTGCTCTGTGTTTATACACATACATTCACCCATTTAAAGATATTATAGATAATAAATATGCAACTCTAGAAGTACTTTGAAAACATAATTTTAAATCTATGATATGCTGATACATACACTGTGCATTTTGTTTGAGCTAAGAATTGCAGTAAAAAAATATATCTAAAAAGTACCCAGATGTAAACTATCCTCCAATATCCTCTAGTCTTCAATTAAATTCAGACTACTTCACTTTGACATCTGCACCTAAAAAAATTCTATTTGCAAACTATACAAAATTAAAAAAAAAAAAAAAGCAAATTAGGGGAGGAAGAGTTGATGTGTGTCCTGAATTAACCTTTCGAACTGCTGAGCTGAAAATAAGCTACAACTGGTAAGTAGTTTCTGCTTCACTCTCACTTTTAATAAAATGGAACTGATGTGATTTGTTTGTCACTATCAGCAATGCATACAGGAAAGACACCTACGATGGCTCCTTCATAGCCTCTCTCTGTTATTCCAGTCCCTGCATAGGAGAAAATTAGCACAATAGGGACTGCCACAGTCAACAATCAACAATCCAACAGGCGCTAAGTTTAGAAGATACCAGAGGGTGACTTCATTATTTTATCATCCCTGCCAGCAATTCATTTTTTAGTATTTGTTAGATAGTGTTTCTGCCTGCTTTACAACAGTTGTTCCCAAACCTACATGTACAGTAACCTGATTAAACCACTATGGGCAAATCAATATAAACTATAATGGAATGATTGTAAAAACAGAATATGAATGATATCATAACCTGTCTGTCTGTCTGTCTGTCCCTATAGTATCTGCACAATGATTGAAAAACATTAGATTTCTTCATGTATAAATAAATTGTATGAAAAATTGGTTCTAAAGGCCACTCCCTTGATATATGAGATCTGGGTCATCACTTCGGAAGGATGGAAGGCTGAATCAATCTTGAGCTGGTGAAAAATAAATAAATGAATGAATAAATGAATGAATGAATGAATGAATGAATGAATGAATGAATAATCAAACTGCTGGCAGTCAGCAGGATTAGCCTGCAATACTGCATTCTAACCACTGTGCCACCACAAGAATGGAATCAAGGAAAACCAACCCACAAAGGGAGTATATTGTTTCAGCCAGCCTGCACAACTATTAGATTATTTTACCTATTCCATCTGCTTTGAATCTGCAAATTGAGCAGGTGGGCCATCAGTTATTTTATTTCAGTATCTCTATGTTGAAAAAGATATAATATAGTTAGTTCAGAAATATTTTTTTATCAGGTTTTGCAAAATTTTGTTAGACTCATATAGCTAAGGTTGAAAAGTAAGTGAATTAGTCTTATAGGAAAATGCTTTCTGTAAGATTGCATTTGTAAGGGATCCTTGCTTTTCCAACCAAATAGATTCATAGATATTTGTATGATTACAATGTTAATGATACAGTATTTCTCTGTGGTAAAAGAAAAGATATTGTTAAAAACCTAGTAATTTATCACACTGTGAACTCTCAACTCCTGGATACAGTAACCATATTTTACAATAAAGAAAAAGTATTGTGTGAGAATAAATTAAAGAGGTCCTTGCTTTTGGAGCCATAACCAGACTGCTTGCAATTATCAATGTGAAAAGATTTCTTTGATTTCCTTCCCCACTGCCCCCCAACCAAAATGTAGGCTGGCTTCTCCTATTCCTATTTCTAGATTTTGAGGTCTGCATAGTATGGAGTGACTGTGAGGAAAAACCACTTTGTCTTTTTCTTCTTCTGACAGATACAAGTTTGATTGGTTTGGAGTCTAGCTTCCTTCCATGAAAAGAACTGAATTCATGCTCCAAGAATGTTCTACATCGTCCTCCTTGGAAATGTTACTTCTGGAGATGGGAAATAATTGGCAAAGTTGTGCTGTGCGATGCTTGAAGGGAGCAACTAATAAAAATGCATTTTCTTACATGTAGGAGCAAGTTAGGATCTAAGTTATAGTTTTATCATTTACTGGAGCAGTTGAAAAACCTGGCTATATAGCAAAAGGAGGAGACCCAGTTGGGTGCAATGCTGAAGAAGTAGGACTTAAAATATGAGAGACTGTGAGTTCCAGTCCTGCCTTACCCATGGAAGCCAGTTGGGTGACTTTGGGCCAATCATTCTCTCTCAGCCCAACCTATCTCACAGGGTTGGTGTTGTGGGAAAATAGGAGGCAAGAGCATTAGGGGCATTTCTCTGCTGGATGTCACATTGGCCAACCATCACACAAGAAAGCCCACTGGATTCCCAGCAGATGGCCTTCTAATCTAAGAGCTGTTGATCTCCAAGAATTAATCCAAATCATTTTTTAACTCAACCAAGCTGGTAGCTGGCACTACATCTTATGGCAGCAAATTCCAAAGTTAATTACACATTGTGTAAAGCAAGTCTTTTGCCAATCCTGATTCTTCCAAGATTTAATTTCATTAGAACCTCTGGTTCTAGTATTCTGGGAATGGGATAGATTTTATATCTATTAGCAGGAGGAAGAAAAATGAGTTTTAAGAAATCAGATCAGCTGTTCTTGAAAAAGTTGGAACATGGAAGAGAAATATTCCAGCAAAAATAGTATTTTTAAAAGGTTCACCACCCAAAGAAATGAATTAATCACAAATGCAATCCTTACATCAAAGCAAGTAGTAGAAGAACAGATAAATATATTTAAATATGAATATAATTATGGAAGGATTTAATTACTTATCACACACTGATTAATTTCTGTCATAATTTGTGCTACTATGGGCAAAGTATTTTATGAGGTAATGAATTTTTCTAGTCGTCCACTCTTAGAAAGCAACCTGTTTCATCTAGTGTTTTGCTGGCAAAGTTTTGGATGATATACAGGATAAGATTTAATGAAATTTTTCATAAAACTGATCAAGATGATAATCCTTCACTAGAAATTTTTCCTCCTTATTAATAAGTCTTTTGGTGCTGAATGACATCGCTATTTTAAAATCAAAATTACAAAGGGAAAAGGAAGGACAATTTCAACTAAGATAGTAAGTTTTAGGTAATTGTATATTTTATATTTCCTCAAGCATTTTGTTATTGCTGTGATGATGAATGTTGATTCACCTTCATACACTCAATAGTATGTGTATTTTTGTTGCATAACATTTGACCCATCGAGTTTTCCTAAGCAAGGTATTATCGTGATGACTTCATACCTTGTATACATTCATTGTATCTCAATTTGGCTAAGGATAGTGCCCAGAAACCTCATCTGGGTAATAGGTAGCAGCTAAACTAATAAGAGGAGCTCAGTGTCAGAATATACTATGCCCATGCTGAAGAGCAAACTGTTGCCAATTGTTTTCCTAGTACAATTGAAGGAATTGCTTTAACCTTTCAAGGCACAAATGGCTTGGGATCTGAGTATCTGAGAGCCTGCCACTCTCAAGATGAACCTTTCAAGACTTTAAATTTAGCAGAAGAGGCCTCTTCAAACTGCTCTCACTTTCTGAGACCAATTTGTTCATCATACACAAGATGGCTTGCTCCTATGTTACTCACAAACTAATTGCACTCAGCCTCCATTGATTTCATTTCAGAAGCAAGTCAAAACTTTTTTTTCTTCAGTTTCTTCAGTTTTTATTGTTAGCTGCCTCAAGTGCCCTAGAGGCAGAAAGGAGGAGGTTATATAAATCAGTAGATATGATTTATTTATATTATAACTAAATAAATAAATAGTGTTTAAAGAAAAAATGGTGGAAAATACAGATTGCTTAAGATTTGGCTCTAGGCAATTTTTCATAATTCCCAAATTAATATCACTGATGCAGAAAGAAAAGCAGAAATCATCTTTCAAAGGAACTAGCACTGCAATTTGCGTTGTAGATCATGGATATCCACAGAATGAGGGACAGGAAGGGTCAATCAACATGATGGGCATTGTGACATCGTTGTGGAAATGATACAAATTATATTATTCCCATTGGCCAGTATGAGACAAGTGATGTCATCATAATCATAACCAATAACCATGCTCCAGACTTTGCATCAAGCTGGTCAGTGCTCATTTTTCTAATCATTTAATATTGTTCTACAAAATGCCAGATGCAAAATTGCTTTGCAATGTTTCATAACTATGTGAAGCAGCCACTGATATTTTTACAGGACACAGTATAAGCCTGTTGAAAATTACAGTTCATCTATAGCTGCTGAAGGAATTAACACTGGATTCCCTGACCAAGTCCAAATTGCTGTCCTTAAGACTATATTGTTTCTCTTCTCTACAATGGACGGAAGGTTTATGAAGCCATCACAGGTTTGTTTTTTATTCCGTTTGATCAAGTTCTGGACAGGAATTTCTCCCAAGAAGCCTTTACAACTTGTCAGACAAATATTTCTTAATTTTATATTTGCCAATTCCCTCCTTCCTTCTGTCTTTCTCTCCTTCCTGCTAGATTTCATTTAAATGAAATTTGAAATTTGGACAACCTAGAACTACGCTGCCTACGGTTGGACTTAAGCGTAGTACACAAAATTATCTGCTACAATGTCCTACCAGTCAAGAACCACAACCATACAAGACCACGCAACACAACCATACAAGACCACGCTTCAACCACAACCGTACAAGACCACGCAACAGATACAAACTCAATGTAAACCGCTCCAAACTTTATTGCAGAATGTACAACTTCAACAACAGAGTGGTCAATGCTGGAATGCACTACCTGACTCTGTTGTTACATCCTCTAACTCCCACTCTTTTAACCTTAAACTATCCACTGTTGACTTCACTCCATTCCTAAGAGGTCTGTAAGGGGCGTGCATAAGTGCACAATTGTGCCTATCATCCCTGTCCTATTGTCCCCATTTATTTGTACCTATTTCCTGTATTCTTACTCATGTTTATACTTCTACCTATTATCTTGTAAGCAATTGACAAATCCAATCAATCAAATAAATAAATAAATAAATAAATAAATAAATAAATAAATAAAATAAATAAAATAAATAAAATAAATAAAATAAATAAAATAAATAAAATAAATAAAATAAATAAATAAAATAAATAAATAAATAAATAAATAATAAATAAAACCACCTCATCTTTTAGGACATAAAAGTTATGTCAACACTCTACCACAACTGCTTTCCCAAAAGCATAAAAAATTGAGACAAATTTTCCAGTTCAAGTGACTACCAGGAATTATTACTGTGGGTGATCACATATTGTAGGAGATAGCCAAGAGATATGAATGAGGAAAACATTTGTAATAGCAAACATTAAAATACTGTTCTTCCACACTTCACCACTAACAACTAACACCTCTCATGAGGTTTAAAAATTTATTTGGCAAGCCCAGATAAACCCTTAATTAAAAAAAAAAATTGATGTATTCGATCAGTTTAAATGAAAAACCAATTTGGATCTTTTCCTTGGCTTTCTCTGTTCGTTGTAACCTCACCTGGGCTTCATCACCCAGCCAGCCTGAAGGCTTGAAGACTTTTACACCAAAGCAAAAGCAAAGCAAAGCACAATACTCGGGTGTTTACTTATTTGACCTTTTCCTCCTGTATTTGTTGTACATGCATTGATGTTGCTAATTACAAAGATCAACAAATCTATAGAAAAACAGATGTTTGAAAAATGAAGACTTTAGAAGTCATTACATCTTTTCTTATTTTACCTCCAAGTGAAGCCCATGTAATTTCATAACCCTTTTCTAGTATATAAGCTGAATTGAACAAATTGTTTTATGATCAAATTGAATTTTTGAATTATTTGAGTTTCAGGAATTGATAGATCCAAAATAAACATCTTTAAAAAGCAATAAAATACAGCTTATTGATTCTAGTAATCCACACTTCAAAATGAGTTCCATTTTATTTGTTTCTTTTTAAAAACATACTCTACTTTATTTCAGAATATGAGTCATACCTGGGTGAGGAGCCTATAAAACCGATGAATGTGAAGCTGCCATAAACTAACCCTCTTCAGATTTTTCGGTGATTGACTGAATACCCTCAGCTGGTTCTGCTCTAAACTCCATGCATTCAGCTGAAGGATTGAAATAGGTTGTTAGTCTGGTCAGTGGAGCAGATGTTACATAGCTGGATAGATTAAAGATAGATAGATAGATAGATAGATAGATAGATAGATAGATAGATAGATAGATAGATAGATAGACAGATAGACAGATAGACAGATAGACGGACAGACGGACAGATGGACAGATGGACAGATGGATGCATAGGGAGAAAAGAAGGGAAGGAAGTTAGGAAGGAAGGAAGGAAGGAAGGAAGGAAGGAAGGAAGGAAGGAAGGAAGGAAGGAAGGAAGGAAGGAAGGAAGGAAGGAAGGAAATAAAGAAAAATAGATGATGGCTATACAGATAGATTTATTCAGTAGAAAGATGCATGGACAGAGCAGATGGATGAATGGATGGATGGATAGATTGGTGGATGGATAAATAGATAGGATAGATGAATGGATGTAGTATTAACCAGTATACTAAAAATAAATACTGATGTATTTATCTCTGTTTCAGAGTGCTGCTTTAGCCTCACCAACAGTGGTTCTAACTTGTCAGGCTTTAATTTCAAGTTTGTTCTTCCTCATTCAATTCCTTGCTGCAAATTGTTTCTATTCCAAAATTCTAAATGACCTTCTCCAACATTTCAAGTAAATAGCCTAGAAAAAAAAGTAATCTTAAAGAATACCATAGATTAATGACACCAGTTATCTAGATGTTGAACAATGATGTCCCAATTTCCAGCTTCTAGCCATAGTCTTCCTAAGAACCATTGCACAACAGTGCTCCCAGCCAGGGCCTATCTCATCCAGGTGACCCACTACTACTATATGATTATTTATAGAAAAAATGTGAAAAATCCAAGAAAACTACAGGGTCATTTGGTGGCCAACATAGATGTTCTACCAATTTGACCAAAGCAGTCTCAATGTCACATTCCATGTGAAATCCTGATTAAAATTTATCCAGAATATCAAGTTCATCCAAATCTAACTGGACGGTTACACCAGGGGTGGGATTCAAATTTTTTAACAACCGGTTCTGTGGGCATGGCTTAGTTGGTGGGCATGGTTTGATGGTCATGTGACTGGGTGGACATGGCTTGGTGGTCATGTTATTGGCTGGGCATGGCCAACTCAATATCACTCACATCGAGGCACGCATCTCCTCGCCTGGCCTCTCATGACTGTGGGGATGCTGCAACAGTCGTAAGTGTGAAAAATGGTCATAAGTCACTTTTTTCAGTGCCATTATAACTTTGAATGGTCACTCCACACAAGCAAAGTACCAGCAAAGGAGGGCCAGCAAAACTCCAGAGACGTTCCTGAGACAGGAAGTCCAGTCCTGCCAAGAATGTAATAAGGGTTAACGGAGAGGCAGTTTCTGTAAGCAACACCAGAATGTTTCCTTCCTGCCTTCCTTACAGGATTAGGCTCATAATTTCTTCTAACAACCAGCTCTCCGAACTGCTTAGAATGTTAACAACCGGTTCTAGTGAATAGGTGCAAACTGGTAGAATCCCACCCCTGAGTTACACCAACCACATTCTCAATCTACTGATCCCAGAATGAAATATTTAAAACTGCCCTACAATTTAAAGTATCTTTCCAATCAAGGAAAATATTTTTTTCAATAAAGGTCTTATAACTACCTTCTTTAAGCAGACAGGAAAACATCTAACACTCAGGGAGGCATTGATCTTATCTCCATTAACTATGGGACCACTCACAAACTAGGCAATTTAATCAATCAGAAAGAGCAAAGATTGAGCA